TGAAACGCCGAACCGAGGGAGATGTGAGGGGAAGGTGAGGGGATTTCCAGCGTGTTAAACCATGCGTGTTTGAAGTTGTGTGGAGAAAAGCTGTTTTGCCTCACATTAAACCTGCCTTTACTAGGCAGTGAAAGGGAGTAATGTACAATTTCTGTGAGGCTCTTGACCTTCAGGAACAAAATTAAAGCAATATGGTGAACACTCCTGTTGCTTCTTAGAACAAAATGTAGTGGTTTTTTTGTTGGATAGTCCAGACCTTCTCATCAGCAAGAAAATGCTAATCATTTCAACAGGTGTTGATGACATTAATTCAGTTTTGCAGAACAAAAAGCCCCAAGCCTCTCAAGCCATCCTTAAGAGTAGGTTGAAGGGGTGGTGAAGCATGACTGGAAAATCCAGTAAGGCTGGCTCCTGATGTGGCATTTACTTTCATTGCTGTATTGACTTAAAACTCAGAGTGGAAGATGATGTTTACTTAACCTCGGTGACATTAAGCCCATTAATATATCTTCCTTTTTTGTGCCTTTGCAGGGGAAGAAGTTTAACTTTGGGAAGATTCTCTTCAGTAATACCACCATTTTCCTGAGATGTAAGTGGTTACAAGGGATTAACCTGCTCTCTCTGCTGTTTGACACACCCCCACCCCCACCCCCCCTCCACTTTAACATTTGGGATTCAAAACACTGTGAAGTGTTTAACTGTGCTGGTTGCAGTGACAGCTAATCTAGCACTGGATGAAAGCCATAGCTCTGATACGGTTGAGTGTGTTAACAGCCTTGAAGCTTCCCAGTTGTGATCTGTTTAGGCCCTCTGTGGAGAGGGCAAGGTGGGCAATGGGAGCACCACTTCATTTCAGATAATGGGTAACCAGGCATGGGATGTGCTGAGCCCTACTGTGAGGTGTGCTTTTCCTACTTAAGATAAGCTAAATTCCTCCAGCTGAGAGATCTGGTGCTGACTGGGATGGGGGCTCTTTGTATTGCAGGGTGACTGATGCCAGTGTGCAGGAGGCAGTTCTTTTTGAGGCCGTGTTCCTTTTTAGCTGGGTGCTCTGGGAGTGGTAAGGGAATGTCGTTGCACACTATGGCACACTCTCCTGAGAGCTGTTTTCTCCCCCAGTCTCAGTGTGTGTGCTACAGAGCAAGCATGTTTGCAGCTGTCCTGTTTGTTCTTGTTGTTTATTGCTCTTTGCTGATCTGGCCAGGGCTATGGGTTATATAGGTTACTGCTTAAAGGAGAGTTTCTGTAAAATACCCTCTTATCCGTGAACACGAGGACAGCATTTAGATGGCAACAAGATGATGTAGGTGACTTGTGGAAGTGACTAGCTGATATAAAAAGGCTTGAAAACTTTCCCATGTGCTTTGAGCTCTTTAAGGGGTTGTTTGCACCAGTTCTTACTGTCAGGGGGCTAACGTGTCTGATCTTCAGCTGCTAATTGGATGGTTATACAGGAACAGTGCCTGTGAATGCCCTTCTGCACTTGTGTCAAATGAGGAAATAAAAGTCACTTTAGAGATAATTAGTGGGATCTGTACCTTTTTGGCTTCAAGACTTAGTTGCTGCAGTGATTGCACTCTTTTTTTTTTTTTTTTTAACTGAGAGAATTAAAGTATTGTGAGGATTAGCTGATGCTTCTTGATGAAATTGCATATTGCTGTGGTCTGTTATGTTTAGTACTTACCTTGTTGATTTTTGGGTTTAATTTCAGATACCTGCCCTTCTTGGGACAGTGTTTCAAAGTGAGTTTGTTAAAATGTCTCCATTAATACCATATGAATCTGAAATAGGAGGCTAGTATTAGAGTGGTTATTAGTGAAGGTCCATCAGGTCAGGGTTAAAGTTTTCTCACTTCAAGTGTAGCTCAAATGCTGAGTTTGCTGCAGGATGAAAATGTAGAAATCTGATGCTTGGGGAAAAGGAGGAGGGGATTGAAAGGGCATTTGGAGCTTTGGTAAGTGTTAGGCTTTCTTGTCTAAAGTTTAATGGAAATAGTGTAGTCATACTAACGTGGCATCTAAGATGTGGGTCCCTGCAGTGAAGTGTGTGGTAAGTCTAGTCATGAGGTGTACAGCTGAAATAACGAAGAGGAGGAAGGAACTAAGGCATGAAGAAAATAATATTTGTTACAAGACAGGTTTGTGGCAGAGCTGGCAGTAAGAATTTGATCCCCTGGCTCCTGCTGTGGACTTCAACGACACTGTGCAGTCAGACTTTAAACAGGCATTAAGCCTTAAAATTCTTTGGTGAAGACGCCTGTTTTGCATACCAGTCAGATTAAAAGATTTATGTGAATTTAGGTAATGAATCATTGAAAGAGGAAGGAACCAAGGTTAGGAACTTAATTTCACTTTCTCAGCCTAGGTAATACTTGAAGCTTCCCAGTATCGGATACAGTTTAACTTTACATACTGTTTCTTTTCTGCCTGTGTATGTGTGGAAATTGGTATCTCTTGTTTGCTGTCTGTTGCCTCTTCCCTCTGCTCTGTGATGTTTGTGTGGACAATATGACCCTTCTTGCCAAACATGATTGCTCCTGGCTTGTTCCTGTTTTTGGTGAGCACCTGCATCTCCTCCTCTACCACCTCCTCCTTCTTCTTTCCCTTTCTTGATTTTTGATATTTGTTTTGTGTGTGTGATGTATTGATGTCTGATGCTTTCTGCTTCTGATTGGGAAGACTGCCGCTGGTGTTTAGTATTGTCAATAATTAATTTATTTTTACCTACTAATTTTCTATAATTCTATTCTAGAAGGCATCTGGTTTCCTGTCTAGGATCATAGTAGAAATCCTGCCCTCTGTAAATGAGTACAAAGACTGCATTGGAGTTGAATGTTGCTGGCTTTGTTTGAAGGCTAAGGAGCTTAGATTTCCATATTACTGAATTCAATAAATGCCATGGATGCCTTTTCTGCTTTTTTGAGTACTTTTCAAGGTTTCTGTAATTTTGATGTTTGCAAATACTGGGGGATTGTTCTAGTTATGACCTGTTTTACCTTTAGTTGGTGTTACTGCTGAACATAGAGTTTCAATAATCTTATTTTTTTTTTATTAGGTAAAAAGGAATTTAAAAGGTATTTTTTAATCCCTCCTACTTTTTTGAGATGTTCCTCATTTGATCAATTTTATCAGAAGAGCCTTTGCCTTCTAATAATTTGCCATCTACCCATGTCACTGCAGTGCTTGTGTTGCCTCTTAGTTTTTATTGTGCCTGCTGCAACATCTAGGGCTGTGTGTAGAATGTATGCCTTGTTTTCATGCTTACCAGAAGGTGTCATAAGGAAACTCTTATTTTTCAGTCATTGCATTCTAGTCTTTTTAATCTTTGGTGTTAGAGACTCAGTTGTTGATTTTTTTAGCTCTGCGTATACTTGCTTTAGTAGTCATGTGGTTTAAAGTGGGATTAGTCAGTTAAGACTCCATGGCAAGGTCTTTTTTCTCATTGCATTTTTTACCTGCAGTGGTCAACATGCAAACATTCATTAAAAGCTCTATACATGTAACAGATTTGTGGGTGTCTAGTCTGAGATGAATGTTGCCTGTAAAGACATGGGGACTTACTAGCCACTAGAAAAATGCTGTCAACTCAAAAGAGTTTTGCCATCTGTTGACTGACAAAACCCAAACGTAATCATCTAAGTGACTCTTTCAAGACTCTGAATAATCACTTCTCACTTTGTTTACAGATGAAGCTTATCTTCTTAATATAAAATTCTCTTCATCAGGCTTTAGTTTCAGACTGATATTTGAAACACAAAAATCACAGGGTCTTTCCTGAGTGAGGAGGATGGGGAAGTCTTGTATTTCACTTTTCATACATGTTGTTCTCTAATAAAGTGGAAAGTTCTCCTGTTGCTGTTTTAGGTAGCATTGCAGCTTTGATAGTGACCTAATGTATAGATGGCTTGTTTGTCTTTTGGGGGGGGGCATAGATGTTCACTTGCAAAATCTTGCCTTTTAATTTATCTTCTTGTTGGTGATATTGGTATATTTAAATTATCTGTGCAAATGACCCTTAGTATTAACCTGTTCTAGCTCTCTCTACCTGCCATGTGCCCCACGTATCTTGGAAAGGGAAATCCTTTTGTGTATTGCAATCGCTGGGAGTCACTGCTGTTCTCCTCTTGTTTGGTATTTGCGGTTGCTGAAATATCCCTGATTGTCTTGAGAACAGAACGTTTCCAAATCATCTTCAGCTCTTTAATAGAATTGTGTAATGTTGTAATGGAATTCTGTTTTCCACGTGCTTCTTTCCTTCTCTGAACAGTAATGGATTACTTGATGAAAATGTTTTTCTGTTGTTTTGCTTTCAGTTTTGTGTTTAGAATAAATTTAATTATGGTAGTTTGGCACAGAATGGAAGGAAAAGCATGGCAGGTAGAGGGTGTCTTATATGTTCTTATCTGTTTGTGTTTTTTTTCAGTTGAAGGGGATGAAAAAGCTTGTGAACCCTCCCAAAGTTACAATGTTACTTGGTACTTAAGATATTCTGACTGCTACAATGAAGTCTTCAACTTTGGGGTAAGAATTGTGTGGAAAAACATGGGTTGTGATGTTTTAGGGGTAAGCAGGGGTGACGGGATTGGAGATCTCACTTGCATCCTCATTTCTCTTTGGGCCTAAAAGACACACTCCTCCATTGGAAGGTAACAAATTTCTGTATCATTGGGAATGGAATGGAAAGGAATTGATCCATATCTTGCTGGAATTACTGACTTCTCCGGATTGTGGCTAAGGTGGAAGCATTTGTCAGAGTTCGTTTAAACCCAGAAGCTTAAAATAAGTGCATCAGCCCTAAACTGAAGTGTGTGTTTATGGTAGATGAAAAGATTATTTACAACAATGCTTGACAACAAATAGAAAAAAAAGAATATTTTCATGTTTAGTCTAAATTCTATTCTTTATGGATGCACATTGCAAGTATTAGCAATTTCTACAAAACGTATAGTGTTTCTGTCAAAAGTGGTAGAACACAGCTGTGATTTATACTGTGTAACACCTTTCCATGTTTACTTAAAATATTAATTATGACTAACCTAACACAGTACTGGAGTCTTTAATATAATAATGTAGAGTTTGTTTGTGTAGACAGAAATTTATGCTGGCTGCTGCACCTCCACTGCAGGAATACTGGGATTTATTTTTTTTAATTAGGTATTAATTCTTACTCAAAGCCTGTTTGTTTTGGGGTTTTTTTGCCCTCATTTTTGGTCCCTGTTTTTTGGCCCTCATTTTTATAGTCTTATGTTGTCTTGATGGCCTTTGTCCTGTGAAGTCCTGTTCAAGAGTGTGTGCAGAGGGAAGTTATGGTGCTCTCCAGGTCTTGCAGCTGCCTACTGAGGTAAACTATTTGATATATTGGATACTAACCGAAGTTCAATTCTATGTTTGGCAGGATGAACAGGCAGAGTACTATTTTGGGGCTACATCTGAAGAGCATCCGGGTTGGTCAGGATACTATGCCACAGCTTCTCTCCTCTTTCCAAATTGCTCTGAGCTCTTCAGGCCTCAGGTATGTGTAGAAACTTCACAGTTTGGTCTGTTCTCTCAAACAACATAGAGAGAAGGTGGTAGTTCCTCTTAGGTGTGTTAGCATCCTATGCAAGTATCACTGTGGGTTGGGAGGTACTTGTTTTTATCTGTTTATGACAACCAAACTGCAATGATGATTTCTTAACTTTGCTTTACTTCTGGCTTGCTATTCAACATATGGCCCCACCATGGGGGGAAAACAACTGTAAAGTTAAGTGCTTCTTTTTGTTTGTGGTTCTGCATTCTGAATTTGTTTCAATTACAGAAGGCTACTGTTAGTTGAGTAAAAGTGTGAATCTCTGGCAGCAGAGTGAAGCTCCCACTAAATTTGGGTTGACAAAGGACTGACATTTTTTGCTCAGCTAATGTTCATTTATAATAATGGGAATGAAAAAGTGTTGACAAATGGGTTACTTAAGCACTGATAGCAAGTTAAAAAACAAAAAAATAAGTAGTGCTAAAATGTGTTTGAAACAAATCAAATGGAAGAGAGGAGACAATGCAGAACATCATAGGGGAGATAATGTGCAAACATAGTTTCTACACCAGTTGTATATCACCAGGTGAAGCTGTGCGATCATACTAATGACAATATCGATATAACATGCTGTCTTTAATGGTGTACGTAAGAATTCAAGGCAAACTGTGCAGTGTGACATCTGTATTCAGCCATTCCTGATTTAGACAAAGGGAATACTGGGAAATGTTTCATAACTATTGAACCTGGTGTTCTGGTTTCTTGTTTGTTAGTTTGTTTTTTTCTTGAGAAAAAAGACATGCCTAAAGGTGACTTGAAAAGGGTTTTTAATAATCTGTTTGCATGCCTCTAATTCCTTTGATATGCAAAGATAGCTTGAAGGGTGGTTTGTTTGTTTGTTTTAAATCTGTATGCTGCCTGCTCTTTATGTTTAATGATATGAGAAGTGCCAGTTCTACTTTTACTTGGTTTTATAGAAGAGATTTTGTGGGTTTAGCTGTGTAATATGAACTCAGGCATCTTAACTGTACATTCAGGTTGGTGAAAGTGGGGTTTTAAAAGTCTTTAAGGGACTCTTCCTCCAATTCCTTTGAAAGGTCTACTGAAATTTTAACAAAAGATAATACACTCAGATGTTCTGAAGTTTCACAGAAATTTCCCATTTTGTTAATTTTTTTTTCTTGCGGTATAAGAGTTTCATTATTCTGAAGTTTCACAGAAATTTCTCATTTTGTTAATTTTTTTTCTTGCGGTATAAGAGTTTCATTAGATTTTAAGTCACCATAGTTGGGGAGAGTTGGTGAAATCTGGATCTCTAATAGGTACCCTCTCATCTAGGGACTTTTTTGCATAGACTAAGGCAGAAATCTCCAAATCTTGTTTATGTCTGTGTAGACTTCATCTGGTAATGGAGATACCCAACATATTAATAATTGGAAAATAAAATTAACTTCACTACTGTCATGTCTGTGGGTCCAGTTCTAAAAATAGACACCTGTTGTCTGAGAGGAGAAAACGCAACTCTCAAATGACACAGTATTAATCTAAGTATTCAAGACACCCTCCACAAATGGACAGTTGTTTGATTTAGAAAAATGAAAGCTCTCTAATACAGCTGTTCAGAGAATCCTTCCTTATAATCAAGTTTACTGGAAGCCGTTCTGGTAATGTCATGTTAATATAAAGTGCCTATAAATGCTGTATGTTTCTTATCTTGCAGATTTTCTATAAAGAGTTTGTTCATCCAGAGCCTCTCTCACCTGAGAAACAAGAGGTAAATTTTTTTTCTTTTTCCTTCTAATGAGTGAGTGTAGGCATGGAAGAGAGAGTTTCGACACATTGATTTATCCATTTTTCTGTTTTTCTTTAAGGGCTTAAAAGAGAAGAAGGAGAGTGGAGGAAATCACACAATGGTGGCAGATAAAACTGTATGTATATTGAATTCAAACATGGCTTGGAATCCAGCAGTCTTAACTTGTTGGTTTTGGTTGTTGGTTTTTTTTTTTAGTTTTATATTTCTTTGTATAAGCAATCCCATTTACAGGGATGGTCCAGTGTTCTGTTGTTTTGACATCTGGATTTTTTTTAGTGTGAAACTAGGTAGGTAGCACTGTGTGGAAAAACAGAAAACCGTAACAGAAACAGAGGAACTGCTGCTTCTATATGTGAAATATAGAACTCATACCATTCAAACTGATGGTATAAATTTTTTTTTTCCACAGTAATTTAACCATTGATATGATCTGTTTTAAATGGTGACTAATACTTAGAGATTACATCTGGCTTCATTTTTAACTAGCCAGTATTTTAAAACATTATACCTAACAAGTTGAGTGATTACGTCTGATTTTCAAATCTGTTAGTATTTTATTATATATTATGTTCAAGCTTTAACCAGGAACGGTTGTCAAAATAACTTCAATTTGAATGTCCTAGATGCCAGCAAAGAAAATGTATTTAACTCCCTGTGTACTTACAGGGCCATTTACCTTAAAGCTAAAACATAAACAGCTGCGAGTGCAATTGTGAAATAAGGAATCAACGCAGCAAGAGATGGAGATATTTTAAAGGCAAAATTGGTGTATAAAAATATATCCATTTTCTTTCAAGTTTGCTTTTAACTAAGTCTCTTAATTTCAGTCAATTTCAGCATAAACTTTTTTTCGATGCATAAAATTCTGTTGGCTTTAGGTCTTGTAGTCAGGAGGTTTCTTAAAAGAAATGCATGCTCTTGATACTGGAATTCTCTTCAAGAGGCCATTATAAAAAAAGTCTTTGTAGTAGTTCTGCAGTAGTCATGTGAGCGGCATACATGTATGTAGTCTTAGTTTTAACCTTAAAGCTCTTGGCAAATATTGCAGTTTCTGAGATGGCTAGAACTTCCTCAGTTGTGGAATTAACAGTTTTGTATGCTGGAACTCAAAGAAATCTCTGATTGGTTTTATGGTGCAAATATTTATCTGGGCAAGCTTCCTCTGTTAGTTCATTGGCAGGGTTTGAGTCTTGTAGGTTTGAGAGCTGTTGCAGGGGCAGTAGTAGTTTCCACAGGAAATGACCACTATGGAAATTTTTTACTTGTCAGCTACCTATTCTATCTTGCACTGTAAAATTCAGCCTGCACCAGGGAGCTGAGTTATATGTAGCTGTGCTGTTGGCAAACAATTGATTTCAGGAGGAAAGAAGTATCTCTGTGGTGGTCCTAATGTTTCTAGACTGAAAACAAGGAATAGGATGTTTTGCTGAATTTGTTGTAACTTTTGCAGTACCTTTGAGATGACTTTTGCACGAAGCCAGTATTAAACTTGCAAATAAGCCCTGATCACCTCCCAGGCCTCTGAGGATTCTTTGGATTCAAACAACTAAATTTTAAGTATTATATGTAATAAATAGGTTTGAAATTTACATACCAAATATTTATTAACAAGTTTTAGGCCTGGGAAGAGGTGAACTTTATTTTTTACATGGAAGATATCACCCATGTACAGCAAGTCTACTTGTGTCTTCTTGATTATGTGCTGTCTACATGTAGACATTTTATTTTCAGGCAATGAATGCCGTTATCAAAACTTGGCGAGATGGGCCGTATATATTTATTGTACAAATTGGAATTACAACTGCAAAGGATTCTACTACCAGAAGTAAAAGAGCGGAGAAAACAACACCTTCCTCATATCAAAATAAGCCCTTTACAAGTAAGATAGCTGTTTATACAGTAAGCTAATAATATAGTGCCAATTTTTACGTATACCGATCTCAGTGTATTCTAAGGTACCTTTAATATATACTGTATGGTTGACTTTACATAGATGTAAGTATTACCTATTACAACTCTTTCTTATTGTAAGAAAATAGGTGATTGTTAGTGTCTTGAAGATCCTAAAGCTGTTGGTCTGTCAGTTTAGTGATGGAAAAAAAGAAGAATCCCCATGCTGTTCAATTTTGAGGCTTGGTGTTGTGTTTCAAAAATGTGCAGACCAACACAGTGATTTATATTAATACGCTCAAATCATGTAGAATACAAATATCTTAATTCTCACCGTGAAATTATATCTAACAGTGCATTGATAACCTATCAAACTTGAAAGAAGTTTGAAAATACCCTTAAAAAGTTAACTTATGTGTGTTTCTGTACTTTCCTGTTACATGTAATCTCCAGCACAGATTACTTTTACTTTAAGTACTGACATGAGTTGCTTGGTAATGGAGCGTATAATTTTAATTGCATGCTTTTAGCTGTGTTATGAATCTTAACTTTCTTTGATTAAAGCGCAAGTTAGATTTAAAAGCTGTGTGAAGATTTGGAATTTCTTTATGCTTGAGTAAAATTCAGTTAAGTACTTTGTCCTGGCTTCCTCCTTTTGGTTCTCATTCAACATGGTTATTGGATTATCTTTTGACAGTGACAGTAGAACTGAAGGGGCCATATGAGTATCTCTCACTTGCAGACTATCCTCTGATGATTGTAAGTAAAACAGCTTTCCTTTGACCTATAAAGTTGTCAGTTGATTTGAATCTCAGTTAAATACTCTCCTTTCATGCTTTAGGAAACACAGAGCTAGTATCTCAGGAACAAATAATTTAGCAGAAGCTGTTGTGTGTATTTGTGTGTGGTTTTTTTTTGTACTAAATACAAGGTCAGGAAAACACATAGATTTCAGTCATTCGCATATGTCCTTCTCTGGATTGTTTGACTTGATGCCTGTCAATTTGTAGTTCTAGAAGTTACCAGTATCACTAGTTCTGAACTGAGCAGTTTTACTGACGCTGTTTTTCTCCTTTAGCTCATATCTTAGAAAATTTGCTGTTCTGTGCTTTTGTTTTCAGCTGCCCTTTCTTTTGTCACTGCTTTCTTTGTTCTTTTACAGCTTAATCTTCCTTCCTCCACCAGCTGTCTTACACCCCATGAGGAGGTCCTTAATACTGCCTAACAGTGAAAGCATAATTGAACTACAAAGAGCTAATCCCGTTTTTATTCGAAGGAGTTGACTTGGTTGCTAGTTGCCTCTGTCCAGGAGGCTAAGAAAAGAGAAGAACTTTAAATATTTACATAGTGTAGACAGACTTCAGCTGGTGATCAATAACAAGTAGTGTCTCTAGCCTGACTGTATTGGCAAGAGTGGCCTGTAAATAGGAGAGCCTGAAGGCATTTCTGAAACATATGTTTTACTTCCTGCAAAAGTAAAAACCTCCAGCATCTCTATTGACATGTAATTCACTAGTGTGAATATCCCCATGTGACAGGTCCAGAAAAAGGTCTATGTCTGAATTTTTCTGTAATGGAGCATCTGAATGTGAACTAGCATGCTTAGACCTTACCACTTGAACTGCATGGATTAGTCAGATGTGAAAATCTGTAAGGATCAGTAGGCTGTTCTCCTAAGGAAAGTGTTTTCAGTTTGTGAAAGTTTCAATGGATTGTGCAGTTAACTTCGATGCTTCCTTGGTTTAAAAAATATAAAATCTACCTTCTGCAAGAGGAGACTGCTTGATTATGACTGTCCTATACTTTGGCTAAGTACTTCCTGCTATTCATTTAATGTCTTACTCTCCTTCTTATCCCTCTTAATCTCAGTGTCCTTTTTGAAAACTTAACTTGCTCTGGTATGGTGTTGTCACGTAGAAAATTCAGCACTGAGTAGCATTGTCAAGCTCACTGTTCGCAGTAGGAGACATACCCTGAAAATTCTTCTGAAGCAAGTAACACTGGACTGAAAAAAAAAAAACAAACTGCAAAATGATAATATTTACATGAGTATCTGGATTTCTTTTTCAATTTCCAGATTTTTGGCTGACCTAAAGCTTGGTCAAAAACTCAGTTTGCTGGAAATTAACTTTTAAGAGAAGTTGTCAAATTATTTGAATATAGCGATTACAACCATCAGTTGCTTATCTGTGTTCTGTGGAATGGTGTGTAAAGGTGATTTGTAAGTTTATTTGCAGAGTACTGTAAATGTACGATGAAGTTAGTAATAGAAAAATATGTGAGAAGGGGCAGGGTTTCTAGTACTCGATGATTTGCCTGAGCTCTTATCCGAGTTTTTGAAAGCTAGTAGCACTTGATATCTTCCTTAGAAAAATTGCCTGTGAATAAATTGGCAGACTGCTCTTCAAGAGAGAAATTGCTCAGAAATAACAATTACTCTGATTCCCTTTCATGGCAGTGAGAAATTAGACTGTCGCTGTGAAAGAATCCAGAAAAGACAAATAAAGTAATGTTTTTTTCTAGTCACTTTTGTATATAAAAACTTAATAGTTGCTATACTCAGGGATAAAGCAGAGCTGTCTTGCAGCTGTGGAATGGAAACAAGGAAATTATTTTTCTGGGTCTAAGATTCCTATTTCTTCTTTTTGTGTAATAGTTTTTCATGGTGATGTGTATTGTGTACGTATTCTTCGGGGTTCTATGGCTTGCGTGGTCAGCCTGTTACTGGCGGGATCTCCTGAGGATCCAGTTCTGGATTGGTGCTGTTATCTTCCTGGGAATGCTCGAGAAGGCAGTTTTCTATGCAGAGTTCCAGAATATCCGCTACACGGGGGAATCTGGTAGGTAGCAATTCCAGCTTGCAGTTTAATTGATGGGGCATAGCACTAATGGCTTATAGTAAATTGGGGTGACAGATGCATATTAAGTGTATGATTACTTGAGGATTGTTTCAAAAGAAAGAACAGGGAACCAGAGGTTCTGCAAATTTTAAAATGTATTGTAAATATGATGATCTGTGTTCTTCTAAAGCTAAAATGCTGTTGCTTTCTCTGACTCCTAGGTGTAATGTTTTAGGGATGTAAAATACTAGATTCTGGAGAGTATTCACTGTAGTTCTGGTTTGAAGCTTAAAATAGGACTTCCTAAGTGTAGCTTGTAATTCACTTCTGACAATTGGTATTGGCCTTGGAAAGAGACTTTGAAATTCCTTGTTCAACATGACAGCATTGCGGGTGACTTTTGGTATTCAGCCCATAGCCTCATAATCCAGTGATTCTCTCCACATAAAACTTCGAGACTGTGGTTTTGAGTTTTTAGGATGGATGCATACAAATGAAACTCTGCGAGTAAAACTTCATTATGACTTTGTTAATTGGCCAGACCCGTAGTACAGAAGGTTTTGTTGGTTGACTTGTTTGGAAGATCATCTAGGCTGATCTTACAGATAAATGTTTTATGGATCATTTACTATCCACTTTCTATGGATGTAAGATTTTTCAGTAGCTTTTTTTTAATGCTAAGTGACCTGTCTTTTTGTGAAAACTTACTCCAGATGTAGGTAATAAAAAGATTATGTGCTTTAATAGCCTACTTTCTGAAAATATGTCTGCTTTCATACTACAATTGCATGCAGCTAATAAAACGGAAACTGTATTTTAATAATCTAGCTTCTTCCTCTCTGCTTTTGGTAGTTCAAGGAGCAGTAATACTGGCAGAACTGCTTTCTGCTGTGAAGCGCTCATTGGCTCGAACTCTGGTCATCATAGTCAGCCTGGGATATGGGATAGTCAAGTGAGTAATTCTGTTACAGGTTTGTTATGTTCTGTTAAAAGGCTTTTCACTGTTGGTTTTTAATAACTTAGGGCAGTATTCATCTCCCTGTACTTTGCTACCTAAAAGGTAGGTCCTTTAGTTAAGTGCTGTAAAGGTCTGGACTTCTTCACTAGTCAACAGAGACATACCATTCCATATGTACCACTACTGGGTAGGTTTCTGAGTCACTGTTGAGATATTCCACTCACTGGAATGGGATCTTTATATGCCTGCCTTCTGGGCAAGGAGGAGCTTCTAGAAATGGGGAAGGCCAAGAATCATTGATTGGGGAGGGGATCTGCTTTAGGAGGCTTCTGCCAAGATTGCTGCTTGTCTGTCCGTCTCCAGCTGTATTCAATAGTAAAACAATATGCTGTGTGGTGGTGGAAGCTTCTAGCAAGTGTGGGTGTGCTGGGGGAACTGGTGAGGAGGTGGTGGGCTGAGACTTCTTGAAATGGTTGTGAAAAGCTAAGCAGGTTAACTAGAAAACAGGACTGTTACTAATCTCTTCCTTAGTCACATCATACCGTAAGACCAAGTGAATAGTAAGCTTCAAGCACCATAATAAAATTATTTTTGAATCTAGAAGTGGCTTGTCACAAGGACTTTTTATTCACATACTTCATGCCTTATGTTAGACTCAAGTTGACATGACTTCACTCCCCTCCCCCCTTAATCTAAATTTTACTTTGTTTTCCTACAGGCCTCGCCTTGGAGTTACTCTTCACAAAGTAGTTATGGCTGGAGCCCTTTATCTGTTATTTTCGGGCATGGAAGGTGTTCTTAGAGTCACAGGGGTCAGTAATAACTGCTTGACTTTTCCCATATGCCCCAAATGCTGCTGGCTTTATTTACTTACATGCTAAGGGAGAATCGCAGCGCTATGCTGAAAGAAGGGAACAGAGACAGTGAAAAGGTTAAACTCTGAGACTGTGGATATGGATTATTGACAATTATTTTAAGTTTGATGTCTTCTCTATTTATCAGGTTGTAATTCTGTGTATTTTGAAATAATTCTAATAGTTTTCTGATTAGTCAGGTTTCAGACACTATATTCTGCCTGGACCTCTTGTGTCTAATACTTCAGATTAGGTCGGGCTAGATGCAGACACAAATGTACAGCTTGGGTCATGTGGCCATGAGTCAAACAAACAAAACCCAAAACCAAACCAAGCAAAAACAAACAAATAAAAAAACCACAAAAAACCACCACCACTCCAATTTTGGAGGCTGTAGCTGGGGAAAGTGCATGTGAGTGGTGCTGCTACCTGCTTCATTAAGAAGTGCATGTCAGGATGTAGATTTCTGTTATGGTTTTGGTATTTTCGGATAAAGTATTTAACATGTCATATATTTGGTACTTTTTCAGTTTTTCTATGACACTGTGGCTCTGATAGCAAACTTGGCCCTGTCCATGATTGATGCCTGTATTATTTTGTGGATATCCTTTCATAAACTGCAGAATGTTACAAGCTTATTCACAGCTTATTATTTCTATCTTAAACTTAAAAGGCATAAAAGATGATTTGCTTGTTTCAGTTGGGACTTGGATAATTTTTGATCTACACACAAAGGCAATTTTTGCCAGTTTCAGTCAAACTCATGGTTGCCAGTTGAGCATTCAGTTGGTCTATGGGTAGTGTAAAAGATTTAATTACTACATCTCTAACAAGCTGATTGCTAGTTTTCTGTAATGGAAGTGGCCAGAGTACATCATCATGGCAATCGCCTCTGCAGAGGCTCCCTTTAACAGTGCTACATTGACTTAATCTGGAAAACTACTTCTTGCCTTGCTGGTGGAGACCTGAGAACTGACAATGTGATATTGCCAGTTCCTCTCTGTGCATTGGGCTAAACTCTTGGTTCAAACCCTTTGCTTCTGTAGTAAAACTCAGAAGCATTGTGGTAGAGTATTTGTGGTTTCTCATAAAATAGCCTGACCCTCCTTACTTCTTCTGTACCTTGTTTCCTTTTCAGTTTGTTCTTATTGGCTCTCTCTTTGTCTCCAGGCCCAGAATGATCTTGCCTCCTTGGCTTTTATTCCCCTGGCTTTCCTAGATACTGCCCTGTGCTGGTGGATATCCTTCACTATTTTACTTGGTGGGGTGTGTTTTCTTTCAAATTTGTTGGTTTTGGGAGTCTTTTTTGTCTGAACTTTTTTTTAAATCAGCTTCAAGTATATGTTCTTTCTACTTCAGTAAAGTTAATAGAACCTCTCTAATTGAGTGTTGAGGTAAGCTTCTGCTACAGCAAGCGCAAGGGAAACTAGATAACCAGTAGATATCTGTGTTAGAGCATGTCCTGAACATAGACTAGTTAAGTCTGTCTGTTCCCAGTTTCTGATTGTTGAAGTATGAAATTAATTTGTTCTAATGTAGCACTGTAATGGTACCATAGTAGTAGCCTTTGGAGAACAGACTCAGTTTATGTTTTGGGGAGGAGGTTGCTAAGCAACATCAAATCTAAAATCCTTTCTGTAAAATTTGAACTCATCTTGAAGTAGGTGACAAAATGGGGCAGTGTTAACTTTTTGATGTCTTGACATATTACATCCAAACAACCATAATCTCGTGTGACTTAGCAACTGCTGTTAAATGCTGAACTCAAAGCTGTATACAGCAAAATCCCTATGAAGTGTTTTTAGTGGAAGTCAGTCACAAAACTCTAAAATGTGAGTAGCTTGCTGCCCAGCCATGAGCCATGACAACCCCAGTTCTTTCCTACCATGATGTCTCTCCTAAGCACTTGTTGGAAATGAAACTGTAGGCAAAAGGGTGGAGACACTTGTGTGCACTAACTGGATTTTAATTCACTTCTAGTTCAGACTTGATTTTCCATTTATCAGAAGTACATCTGACACTTTTCTGGAGGAACGGGCTGTAGTCCAAAATAGAGGCTTGGATACCATCTTTCTGTTACAAGAGTTCTAGGTGTAGATGGCTAAATAACATGAAAGGGATGGATCCTGCCTTTTGGTACCCTTGCCGTAGGATGAACTTTTCTTCTACTGACTGGTCTGTGTTTTTGGAGGGCTAAGTGTGTGGGTGGGAGAGCTGTTGATCATAAGATATGCGTCGTAAGTCTGTGACCAGTTTGTCCCTTCAGAAGCTTTCCTTAACTTGCCATACATATTCATCAGCTTAACTCAAACAATGAAACTGCTAAAACTTCGAAGGAATGTTGTGAAACTCTCTTTGTATCGGCACTTCACCAACACACTCATCTTGGCAGTAGCAGGTAAGCAGAAAATTATGTTAATCAAGTAAGAGCACTTGCCATTTCCATATATGATTTGATCACTGGAGCAGATTTTTGAGTTTGGTGACCTTTCTGTAAATGCAATCACAGTACTTGATATTTCTAACACTTGACCCAATTCTAATAGTGGGTCTATGCCAAGTGTTATGTTGATACTTCAGAGGCAGTGGATTATTAGTCCAAATGTTAATAAGATCAGTAGTTCTATGCAGCTCCTCTAACAGAGCACTTTTGTCCCTCTTAAAGCTGCTGGGGGCAAAAGATTATTATCCTATGCTGTTAACTTCACAGAAGTGTTTGCCAAAATCACAGTATCGCTGTGTACTATGGGATTTTTGAGATGTCTGAAGACCAGAGTGATTCTTGGAAAACCAGTATCCTTAGTATTGTAACATAATGCGCTTTCTGTATTCTGGAAGAATAGAGATTCAGATTCTCTTTCCATTTGTGCTAGTGATGAGCTGAACTTCAGTAAGAAATCGGTTTGTGCTTCCAGGTCCTCAGCTCCTCATCTGTTTGGTAATGCTATCCATACAATGAGCAGAAAACTTCTAAGGACTGTGCTTTTTTATTTTAAACAAATGAAAAAGCACATTCCTTTTAATCAACAGCTCTCATTAAATTGCTTTCAGCATCTGGTTCTTAGTCATCACAGAATAACTTAGCGGAGGGAAGTCTCGGCTATTAAAACTGTGATGAGAGCATAGTTTGAGCATTGGAAATCTTGTGGGTCAAGTTCTGAATGTTTTGGCATTCAGGCAGATCAGGTGGTTCAACTACTTCAAGGTAGGCTTTATTTGTCAATGATAGTTGGTTTGGAGGCTAGATGAAAGTAATATAAGAATAGTGAATAGGGATGAGGAGTTGGCTAAGTACTTCATTTATGCCTTGCATCTCTGAAGAACCAAGAGCAAAATATACTGGTCTGTGCCCAATTTACTGTATAAGGTCAGTGCAATAAATCAATTTCTTGCTTGCCAAAACTAATACATTGGATTGCCAGAATTCCCTATTTAGGTCTTTGCCCTTTGTTTGGGAAACACAGTCCTCTTAGTACTGTGTTTAGGTTAGCATATTTTGTAGTAATAAGCAGCTTGTTTGTTTTAATATTGCAGCATCTATCGTATTTATCATCTGGACCACCATGAAGTTCAGGCTGGTGGACTGTCAGTCGGTGAGTTTATACTGAATGCTTTCTGCAATTGTTGCCTCTTGGTAAGTTCACATTTGGCAGTGTAAGAGGTGAGATTGGGCATTCTGAACAGATGTTTCTGTAGATTATGTCTAGAGTAATGTACCACATGCTAAAATTCTCGCTGTTGTGGGTACGAACCTCTCTGTCAGATGCCTGTAGTTCACTCTTGGAAAGACCTGAGGACATGGAGTCTTTTTCTTCACAACCTTTTCTATTTGTGCTGCTGTTTTCCTTGACAGGACTGGCAGGAGCTATGGGTGGATGATGCCATCTGGCGTTTATTGTTTTCAATGATCCTTTTTGTCATCATGATTCTGTGGAGACCATCTGCTAACAACCAAAGGTTCAACTTTTCTTACCTATTTCTAAAAATACTGAGTTTTAGGAATGCTTGTTTATCCAAAGAAGTACTGGTGGGTGATTTTAGTTGCTCTATACTGATCCATAAGGGTCCTAAGCAGTGTGTGTAGGGGCTTGAGGAAAAGTAAATGTAGGAAGTCACATAGATAAAAATCAATCTGTTCCTGGTGGTGAACGTATTTAAAAAGAAGCGACTTAAACTTTTGATTATGTAGATTAGCATAGGTCTGAAAAACAACAAACTACACAGAATAATCAAGTCATGTGAATGTTGGGGTAATGAGGCTCTTGGGTAGCAAGAGATATTATTCTAAGGTAGCTTTCATTCTTTCCCTCCTAAAGGTTTGCTTTCTCACCACTGTCTGAGGAGGAGGAAGATGATGAGCAGAAAGAGCCAATGTTAAAGGAAAGCTTTGGTAAGAGAATTTTTTTCCCCAAGTAATTTCAGTGTTGAAGAGACACTTCTATAGAGGGAGATGTATTGTTGTGTGGCAAAAAGTTCATTACTGCTGTAAAAGCAGAGTCAATGCCTCCCTGTTGCCATTGATTTATGCAGTTGTAGAGGAAACATTGGCTTTATGTTTAGTGTTTACATTGCCTGTTTAATTCAGGGATTTTCAGATGACACTGAACACACTGCTACTGTTGTGGTTGCTTTACCATGTCCACTGGTTTTTGTTTTATTAAATATGTCAGGTCATAGGTTTGGATCCAGTCATGATGACAAGGATCTCGTGGATATTACTGCTAGGCAGTGGTTTAGTTTGCAGTTCTCTTTTAAAATCCAGTTCAAGGATTTTCATTTATGTGTTCTCTCAACTCTGCAACCTTCTTCATTTACCATATTAGGGCCTAGTACAGGAATGTCCAGTGCGAACATAATGGATGAATACGTTTACATATTCATGAAATTACATATGAATGAAAGAGTCCTGTTCCATATCACTGGATTGCATCTTTTGCTCCACTCACCCTCCTCCTAGTATAAACCGCTCTCTCTTCACTGCTTCCCATCTCCCTGCTGTGTCTATTGTAACACTACTGTTTAAAAGTTGCGTAAAAGGTAGGGTGACATACCCACTGCTGCTGTTTCTCCACAAATCAATGCTGCTGGGATATATCACTGCTGTTTTGACTTGTTTAGGAGCTGAGGAGGAGTGTGTAATCCCTTAGGTGCATTTGCCAAGTTAAGGTGCATTTGCCAAGTTGGCTGTTTCTGGCTGTCTGCCAGGCTGGGAGATGCCTGTTGCCTCTCAGCTTTTAAGTCAACCTAGGGGCTGGTCAGGAGTCAGTAGGTAAAATAAATTTTGGAAGCTGCATATGTCTCAGAATGGTTGGAAGAGACCTCTGGATGTCGTCCTGTCCAAACCCCCTGCTCAAGCAGGGTCACGTAGAACAGATTGCCCAGGATAGTGTCCAGATGGCTTTTGAGTATCTCCAAGAATAGAGATTCCACAGCCTCTCTGGGCAGCTCTGTCTTTGAGTTCTATGCTGCTGACATCTGGCTTAAATAGAAGGACTAGAAATTGGTATTTCCTATGTAAAACTGCAAAATTCAGGAAAAACTAGGTATTCCACCTGTCAGGAAAAATACTACAAGCCTTTCAAAGTGAAAGCATTGTTTTAATCATTAACTTGTCTGTCTTAACTCTGTCTCTTTGGATTTGATTGAATATTCTGACCGAATACTCAACACAGTCTGTGAACAATTATACTTCAGTTATTCCAATATTTTTTTTTTCTTTCTTTTGTCTTCAGAAGGAATGAAGATGAGAAGTACAAAGCAAGAACCAAATGGGAATGTAAAAGCAAACAAAGCTGTGAGTATGCCCTCCCTATCTCGAAGGATATAGATCCATCAATCTTGTTTGGTTGCCTGCCTGCCCCCCGCCGCCCACACCCCCCCTGCCCCCC